TCCTGGCATAGACAAATGAGTGCTTCTAGTGCTTCATTAGCTTGTTGAAATCATTTCAATTGGAATTCCATCAATTCCTGGAACCTTGTTTTGGTTGATGCCTCCAGCGGAGCTTGGGCTTCTTCCTTTGGTACTGTTAGTTTTTGCTCATATGCTATCTCTTGAAGTGGCTGAATGTTAGCTAGTTCTTTTGGTTTGTTGGTTTATCTCAAGAATAGCTGTTACATCTCGGAGGCTCTTGACAAAGACAGGGTGATGAGAATGGATGCTACTCACCAGGAAGACTACGCACAATAAGATTATCAGACAAGGAAATAAACTTGGCAACTGAGGTTTAAAAACCAGGGAGATTAAGAAGACACCGTGAAAGTGAGGCAATATAGATGTGGTATCCCAGAAATCAAGAGAGGAGAGGCCAGGAGGGAAAGGGGAAAGAAGAAATGCATCCAAGTGGAATCATAAGGCCAGAACTAAGGAGTATTCTCCAGATTTGGCAATCAATGGGTTTACTGAGAGTAGTTTTTAACATGTTGTGAGAATGGATGTCATAGCGTAGTGGCTAGAACACTGTGTGGGAGGTGAAGTAGAATATAATTCATAATTTTGGGTAGAGAAATATATATACATATGTGAGCTAAAATAAGGAGCTAGTATACAAGATGGGGGATTGAAGGCAGGAGAGGAACTGTAAAATGATGGAATCAAATTAAGGTAAAGTTTTGTTAATTAAAGGCTAAAAAAAGAGACCCCAGAATGTAGTAGTTGAAATAGATGGGAGTTGATTTCTCCGTCCTATAACTGGTCAGTTTAGATTGGCATGTAGCGCTCTATCCCCAAAGTCACTCAGAGACCCATATTTCTTCGGTAGAGTTGCCTCCCCATCTCTGTGTGTCAGTGAACCCACCGCACGTGCCTCAGAAGACACACTTGGTCATCTGTTTCCAGAAGATCACAGCTCTGAAAACCCTATGGAGCAGGTCTACTGTGCAACACCAGAGCTGGACTGACTCATGGCAACAAACGATAACAGGGCAGTTTGCTGTATGTCTTAGTTATGTAGTTCTACTGTAACGGAATTTTGCTCAGTTTCAGAAGCTGACAGACTGAATTGAGGGTCCCAACTCTAAGGGAGAGCTCTCTCTCTGTGCATTCTCAGGGGAAGGGCCTTGTTCCTTGGTGATCCTCATGTGGCGTGGCACACATCCTTTCTCACCAGTTGGTTCCTCTGTTCTTAATCTGCTTGGTTTATCTCAAAAGGGTTTGGTTTAAGACACACCCTATTCTAATACGGCCTCATTAATGTAACAAAGAAAGCCCATTCCCAGATGGGATTATGCCCCAAATTCAAAACAAAACAAAACTTCACTGCCATCAAGTTGATTCCCAGTTATAGGCAAGAGTAGACGCTATTGAGACAGAGTACAACCCCCCTGGGTGTTGCCGAGATTGTCGCTCTTTACTGGAGTAGAAAACCACCTTTCTCCTGAGGAGCAGCTGATGTTTTCAGATTGCTGCTCTTCCAGTTAGCATCCCAACCCACAATGCACTCTGCCACCAAGGCTTCTAACCAAAGGTACAGGGGTTAGGATTTATAACACATAGTTTTGGGGAGACACAATTCAAACTATTACAATGTATGTGTCATAATTTAGGGCTTAATTTTATAAAGGGACAGCTAATACGCTATTAAAATTTCAAAATCTGGTTCAATAGTTATCAGCTAGTATACTCACTCCTCACTTGGTGCACATGATTAGGGTCCAAAGACTGGGTATTTATGTGAAATAGGAGAATGACTGTATTGGATAACAAAATGGGGAATGATTACATCATTACCAAACTGCCAAATTGTACCATTATCTAACAGCCAAATCACGGAGAATCATGCTGATATATAACCTCAACTTTCATAGCATTACTTTTGCTGAAAACTTTGGAGTTTGTTACTGCCAGTAATATATCATGAATGTGAAAAGTAAGTCTAGAGTAGATTTTTTTACCCCTGCAGTAAATACAAGTGTCAGATAACCAGGTAGTCAGTAAGTGAAGAGTAGCTCCCTTATATAAGAAGATCCAGCCTCTGGATGTTTCTGCAAATAATTTCTTGTGCTATCTACATGTCTGTACGATTTATTACTTGACTGAATACTGAATACTAAAAGTTGAGTTTTATATTTGTTAAATAGCATGGTGAATATTAGAAATTGTAACATGAAAGGTATGAAATTGTGAAATGTCCATAATGATTAAAACACTTTAACTTTGCATAAATAGCAAGGCTTAGGGATGCCTCTGAGGCCTGATTCCTAAATTGCCTTGTGTTGAAACACTGGGATTTATTTATTTTTATGATATTGAGTAGAGCATACAGAATCCGGTCTTTGAAATATTGTTGTAGCTGTCTTGAGGCTCTTTGGGGGGCGGGGGGCTTGTACAACTCTTCACAATCCATACATGAATTGAATCAGGCATGTTTGTGCGTATGTTGCCCTCATTCTTTTCTAGACATTTACTTTCTATTGAGCCCTTGGTATCAACTCTTTTTTTATTTTCTCTCCCTCCCCGCCTACCTCGATAGATTGTACATGTTATTATTTTGGTCTCTCACACCAACTGCTGTCTCCCTTCCCCCATGTTTTCTGTTGTTCTTCCCCCTGGAAAGGGGTGTATGGTTATGTGTCGATCATTGCGATCGGTTCCCGCTTTCTCCCTTCCTCTCCCCCTCTTCCCCCTACCTTTCTGGTATCACTATTCCCACTCCTGTTCCTGGAGTCTGTGTCTCCTGAGCTCCGATCCCTTTCTGTACCTGTGTACATGTTCCGGTCTAGTCTGAATTGAGAAGCAGCACTGGGGTCAGGGTGGTGGGGGGTGAGGAAGCCTCAAGGAACCAGAGGAATTTAGTGTGTTTCATCGAAGCTTTACTGCACCCTGGTGACTCATCCCTTCCCTGTGGTCCCTCTGTGGGAAGATTGTTCCATTGTCTACAGATGGGCTTTGGATCTCTGCTCCAGCCTCCCTTGTTCTCAACAATATGCTTTTGTTTGTTATGTGTCTGCTGATGCCTATTACTTGGTCCCTATGACCCCTCATGATCACACAAGCGGTGTGCTTCTTCTATGTGGACTTGTTGCTTCACTGCTGAATGATGGCTTGTGAAACTTCAAGCCTTTAAGACCCCAGATGCTATATCTTTGAATAGCAAGGCACCATCTACCTTCTTTACCACATTTGCTTATGCACCCGTTTTGTCTTCAGCAATTTTGTCGGGAGGGTGAACATCTCAGACTGACGATTGGTTAGAACAACGTGTTCTTGTATTGAGGGAGGGTATGAGCAGAGGCCCAAAGTCCATCCCCTTCCTCAGTGTATTACCGAACATGGGCCAATACCTCTATTTTTGTGGATTAAGGTATTTACATATGTACACCACTATGTTTATACCTCTATCCATTGCTTTGCTTCCTTTTACCTTCCTCCTGCCCCACTGACATTTTCTTCTTATTTCTGCCTCTGGGACCTCGCCCCGACCCTGCCTCAGAGGGTATCTCTTATACATGGTCTTTGTCTACCTAAACAACAGAGAGCTGGAATTCCATGGAGCGTAGAGAACTGGTTATATATGTTATTTTGTACTTTCTTACTAATTAATTAATGTTTCATAAATGTATTTGTGGCAGAATTTGGAATAAGATTTATTTTCAGTGCAACATGGTAACACATTTATAAGTAGGGAGTTAATTTTTACTCAATGTATCCTTCTGTAGGACAGCTACTGTTATCTATGCTAAGAATCTAACACTTGATTGACCAAACATGCTTAGATGGACAGCCATGTGCTCTTGATAAAGGGGGTAGGGAGTTGTGGAAGAGAGACGACAATGACGAAGACAGATATAGATATAGACAAATAGATCTAAACCCAACCAAACTCCCTGACTTTGAGACATTCCGACTCATAATGACCCTATAGAACAGGCGTGGGGCTGCTTTTGTGGATTTACGTGACGGTAAATCTTCACAGAAGTAGAAAGCCTCGTCTTCCTTGAGGGACACAGCTGCTGGTTAACCTTGATGGTAACCTTGAGGTTAGCAGCCCAACTTGTAACCCATTCTGCCACCGGGAACACTGAATAGCAGCTTGGGTTGCTGCTCACTTCAAGATCAGTAGGTTTACCCCACCAGTTGCTCCCAGTGAGAAAGATAATTTCTGCTTCTGTAAAGATTTGAAGGCCGGGTAACTGGACGATGCACTTTTACTCTGTCCTCTAGGGTCGCTCCATGGCAGTGGTTTGGAGTAACCTAGCCAAGATGCCTTGATGGAATTTGGGTTACACTTTGGGCTGCTACCGCAAGGTCAGCAGTTCAGCTCTATCAACTGTTCCTTGGGGGAATCTGAGGTTTCTGCTCCCATACAGAACGGCTGCTCCAGAAAGCCCAGGGAGTGCTTAAAGTCTGCTCTCTAGGGTCGGCCTGAGGCCATGCATTTAGGTTGGTAATCACCCAGCAGAGTAGAAAGCCAGGTCCGCAGTGAGAAACCACGGAGCATGTCAGGGCTGTCTACTCTCACTATACGTTGTCTCCTAAAAGTGATGTGGAGGTGACCGTACAAGTCTCCGTGATATGATAGAATCATATGACATGTAAATTACCTGCGAATAAAACTGCTGAAATATAAAGTTAAGTCTCATGTGTTTAAAAGCCATTCGAAAAAGAATGTTTGGAAACGCATTGTGGTAGCAAATGTACAATTCTGCTGGACGTGATGCACTATGGAATGATTTGATATATGTATTAATCACAACTAACAATACATACATAAAAGATCTAAAAGAGACGGAAGAAGACGAAGAGGAAGAAGACGAAGGAGTAGTTAAGTCTCGGAAACCCAAAGGGGCGGTTCTCCCCTGTCCTATAGGGTCGCTATAAAGTGGCACTGACTCAATGGCAGTGAGTTTTTTGGTGAGTGGAAAGCCTCAGGCTGAAAACAAAGACAAAGGCAGGCTGCCCTCATTGCCATTGAGCGGATCCCGAGCGAGGCCGAGGTGGATCCCGAGCGAGGCCGAGGTCACGTGCAGAGGACTCGCCCACAAGTGGGCGAGCCGTTTCGCGTCAGCGGGACCCCATTGGCCAGCGGGGCCTGGTTGGCCAGCGTAGCTCCGCCCCGAGGTCACCTCAAGGCTATAAGTCTGCGCGAAGGCCGCCGCCAGCTCTCTCTGGGGCGTGCTGGGCGGAAGGTAAGTTCCGGTCCACCTTCTGCTTAGAGCCTAACCTTTTCCGTTGAAGGATTTTACTCCCGGCAGCTTCCGTTGTCTGATAACTAGGAAATATGTTTTTTTTTAGTTTATTTTACCTGTGTTAATTAAGAGAGTGATTTGGCCAATTTAAAAGAGTCCTAAGCGAGATAAGAGCTTGTGTTTTTTCCTTCTCCCTCATCAAAAGTCTGAATTGTTAGTTCGTGGAGGTAGGTGGCACTGCGCCACGAGGTCCCAAGGTCCCGTAGAGGCCAGCTTGCCCTCCCGGTGGGAGCCTCGTCAACCCAGGGTGTGGTCCTGCTATGCGAGCTTAAGGCTGCTTTAATGCCACTAGGCCGCCGTCCCTTATCAGGAGGTTGTTCTACTCAGAGCTCATTGGTGAGAACCTAGTCATGCCTCTACGTACCTGTAAGGCTGAGAGGTCAGGTGCCCACCAAATAAAGGTGATGGCGGCGATGGGAAAGGAAGAGGAGATTCATTTTGAAAACAGTTTAAGCTAATTTATTAAGATGCGTGTCAGTCTTGGAAAGTAGACACAGAAGTAAGTAAATATGCGAGGAAGGACAAAAGGGGAGAAGAAATAAGAACATGAGTAAGATTCGTAGTCAAAATGGAGGCCAAGGAGACTTGTGCCTTAAGTAAAGCGGAGGGGGTTGCTTTAATTAGGCTTCCAGTTATCTACAAGTCAAGTTCATTTATCCAAACTGGTCTTAGACTTTATAGAAGGAGGAGTTAAAAAGGTTTTTGGAAAAAATGGAGTAAAAAAATAGTTTTGCTTTCTTTTTTTCCTCACCAACTCTTGGTTCACTCACGAAATATAATTTAGATTATCCCCTGCCCTGCCAGGGACGTGATGGAGCAAGTATTAAGTGGTACCGTGACTTGTATACTGCAATAGCTAATCTGAGAAATCCAATTTTAATAACAGAGGGTTGTGAACAGCTTATGAAATTATTTGGTTATTAAATCAGACATAAAATACATATAGGGCCCCCAAATGTACCATTTTTGTAATCTCCTTTCACATTTTGCCTACCTCTTCACCTATAGTTTATAGGGAGCATTTTGTGAAATTCAAAATGAGAAACTGTTTAGCAGGATACAGGTGCATCTGACGGCTTTCTTAGACTGGAAAGGTGCAGTTTTTAAGATGGTAACATCGACAGATTTTTACTCAAAAAGCCATAATCGTTACATGGTTTTATTTTGGTTGGATGGCACGCTCCAGATTGGAAAGCTTGCATGCTTCTAGCTCTTTCCAGTTTTTTTTTTAAATCATTTGATTAGGGGCTCATACAACTCATCACATTCCATACACACATCAATTGAGTAAAGCACATTTGTACATTCATTGCCGTCATCCTCAAAATATTTCCTCTTCACTTAAGCCCCCGGCATTATTAGATCCTCATTTTTCCCCTCCCTCCCCACTCCCCCCTCCCTCACGAGCCCTTGATAATTTATAAATTGCTATTTTGACATATCTTGCCCTGTCCGACATCTCCCTTCATCCACTTTTCGGTTGTCCGTCACCCAGGGAGGAGGTCACACATAGTTCCTTGTAATCGGTTCCCTTTTTCCAACCCACTCACCCTCTATCCTCCCAGTATCGCCACTCACTCCACTGGTCCTGTAGGATCATCCGTCCTGGATTCCCTGTATTTCCAGTTCCTATCTGTACCAGTGTACATCCTCTGGTCTAGCCAGACTTGCAAGGTAGAATTTGTGTCATAATAGTGGGAGCAGGGAGGAAACATTTAGGAACTAGAGGAAAGTCGTATTTCTCATCGTTGCTACATCGCACCCTGACTGGCTCATCTCCTCCCTGAGACCCGTTCTTTCCAGTTTTAAGATCCTATCATCCTGTAAAATGTTAGCTGTTTTCATTCATGCTTTCTTTCAACTACAAGTTAATCAGATAAACAGGCATGATGCTGTCAGTGCCGCTCACCGTGGCATTACCAGCATACACAAGGAGAAAAAGGTGCAGGACCTGAAATAGCTGCATCCTTTAGAGAAGTTTTCTATAGTATCTCACATGTAGAATAGTGGGGATCTCAGTTTGAATTTAAACTGAGTCTGTTGCTGGGGTGCAAACGTGTCTGGGCCTGTCTAGAAACAGGAGAATGGGCAGAAAGAAAACTCTTTATATAAAGACAGAGACTGCTTCCTATAAGAAAATTAATTACCGTGGAAGAGAGAATTAGAAAGAGAAAGCCCTATGAGGAAGACTCATTGGATGGGGAGTAATTAATACAGCCTGGGGCAAATCTCACCCATCTAGACAGCAGGAAAGTATGCCGGAGACCTTACAGGAGACAAAATCATTAAGAGTTGTTTCGCTGAAAACTACATAATATTGAGCATCTGCAGTCTCTTTTGGGCGTTTCTCTAATAGAGATCAATACAAAGATCTCTGTTTATACTCTACTACACCCTGACTTTGGTTTGTTTGTATCACAGCTCCTGGTATGAGCCTGCAGGGGTAGTGGGGCCGGGGGGGCTGGGGTGAGCACATGATAGTGACAGCTCCTACTGCAGGAGTTGTTACAAATAGTTTCAGATGCATTTTGCTGGGAGTTGGAAGTCTCATGACTATGTTAGCATCTTGATAAGTAGAAGAGCGCGTGAAACGAGTGTTGCTACTTTGACCCTATGAGTCCTATGATTAAAGGGCTTGTATAACACTCCCAGTCCTGTAACAGACATACGCAATGAATTTTATTGGTTGATTTATATTTACGTATGGAATCATGTTCCTCCAAGTTGGAAGGATGGTGATTTTCAATGTGTAATGGCTTTTTGATGTGTTTTTAAATTTCCAAAGAAGTGATATTTTTATAAAATCCAGAATTATGAAATTTTAGGGAAATGGTAACATGAGACTATACAGGCCTTGATTTTTTATTAGATTTGTTGTCAGGTGCTATTAAGTTGGTCCTGACTCAGCAAACTGAAGGCGAGACTGCCCAAGCCTCAGTCATTTTCACAGTTGCTGCTCTGATTGAGCCCGTTGATGTAGTCATAAGCAATCCATTTCATTGAGGGTTTTCCTCTTTTTGTTGAACTTATACTTTACCAAGCCTGATGTCATTCTCCAGGGACTGATAAAATAGCCAAAGCACTAGATAAAGTGTCATCATCCAGTCTAATAAGGAGCAGTCTATTTTATTTTTAATGCTTGAACCTCTCATTATTTCCAATGCTACAATTTCCAAGTTTTCCAAAAGCTTTTGTTTATTAGTTGAAATTATTTAATACATAGAACATATCATTCCATATTTCAATCACATCAAGTAGAATGTACAATTGCTACCACAGTCAGGTTTCAACATTCTTTTCGACATGGTCTCCTTGACATGGTCTCCCTTTTACCCCACTGCAACCACTGTACACCACCCTCCCCCTTCCCCTCTTATTTTACTTGCTGTCTCTGTAGGTTCATCCTGGGTTTCATAGACCAAGAAATGGAAAAGCACATAACACAGCTTCAAGAGGGTGACCTCCATTGAAAAGCACCTCTGAGATACCCTCTACTATGAACAAACAAAAACCAAGCAAAACAATACAAACCTAAAGTGCAGAAAAATTTGGAAACCAGACCAGATCCAATCTGCATCATAGGGGGGATCCACTGACAATTTTAACTGTTCAAGTCAGATTTATGCCTTTGGTCTATACTCCTCTCTCCCAAGCACTCTGTTTACTCTCCACTTTCCTCCCATCCCTCAATTTTAGATACGGGGAGTTCTCCGGAGGCTTATTTCCTACCTACTGCCACAAATGAGTCTTATGCTCCCACTCTCACCCACCATCTTCACACCGGATTCGCACAAGTTAGGCTCTGAGACTAATCCTTCCTTTGACTTTGGATTATATGGATTCCATTCCTGCAGTGGTTGATGATGGTGTGCTTCTTCCATGTGGATTTAGTTGACATCTCAGATGGCTGCTTGTTTGGAGACAAGCCTTTAAGATCCCAGATACTATTTTGTCTGATAGCGGGCACCAACTAATTATTTCACCGCATTTTGCTATAGCACGCATATCTTCTGTGTCCTCTTCCTGAGGGTGAGTATTGAGCAGGGCCATGATATAAGAGCTAATTGTTCTTCAGTTTGAGTTAGGATTTAGTGCCAGACCCAAACCCATTCCTGGATCCATGTTTTTGCTTGTCCTTCCAACAGAATTGTCTGTTCTGGCAGTTCATGGCATACTCAGTGTTCATAGCTAATACCATCATTCAAATACACGAATTCTTCAGTCTTTTCCTTACTCACATGCATACACAGTGATTGAAAATATCATGGTTTGGACCAGGTGCAAAGCATCCTGGTGGGTTAGTCTTGGGCTGTTAAGTACAGGTTAGTCTTTGAAACTCACCATCTGTTCCAAGGGAGGCTGTCTGCTCCCATAAAGATGTACAGGCTTGAAAACCCTATACTGTATAGGGTTACTGTGAGTCAGAACCAACTTGATGGAAGTGAGCTTGGTTTTTGTTTCGGGGATCTGGCTTATCTGAGTACTCAAGAGCGACATCATTGTTTAACACTTTTGCAGCAGATGTGCCCAATGTAATACACCATTTGATTTCTTCACTGCTATTTCCATGGGTGCTGATCATGAATTCAAATAAAATGAAGACATTGATAACTTACTCTTTCAAGTTGGTATAAAAATGTATAAAAATTTACATTGCTACTTATCTGGTTTCAGTCCCATAATGAACTGCTGGCTGATAGACAGGTTCTGGTCTGTGAATCGTGGCTGGTAGAATATCATCTAGCTTCTCATCAGATGTTTCCTAAGGGAGTCAAGAAGAGGTCCTGTCTGTAGTTAATACTTCAGCAAATTAAATTTGAAAGTAGTGGCATCCAGTTATGGAGTGACCTTGTCCTTAGGAGATGTGTGCAGTATAGCAATGTGTACACCTGACTTGGGGCACACACACACACTGCAAATATGGTGAACTTTCATAATCT